ATTGCCAACAGTCACAACAATCGATTATTGTTTGGCAACAGCTTTTGGTGGTGAGGTTTGCCATCGCGTGATGACAGCCAGAATTAAAATGTAAATCCAATGTAAATTTTGAAAGTTCACCAACAACTAAAGGGGAAGACTATGATTGCTGTCTGAAAACAGATGGAGCAGACAATAGGCAAAAAAAAAAAAAAAATTGATGATCTTTATTTGTATATCTTAAAGTCAATAAGACTAAATGATCAAATGTAACATGTTCACAAATCGTTACAATGCTTAAATGATTGCTTCAGATATATTACTGAGAACGCCACCACCCAAAGCTCACCATGTTTCCAAAATAGTCACTTTTTACTTAATCTTAGAAAGCATGTTTTCAAAACTATTTTGAAACTTCATCAAAGAAGCCCTAAAAAATGTTAGATGGCTTAAAATAGTAGGCATCTAGTGGGTCATTCGTTTAAAATTGGGTAATTTGGACAAGTCGTATTAGGTTGCTAATGTTAGCATTTCAATGGTTTGCGTGTAGGTGTGGAATGCTACAAAACCAAATGAAAAAAGAAATCGATCTACGATCTGGGTACATCGATCCGAAACGAGATGGGTTCGCAATCCAAATCACCAAAATTGACGACCCCAAATTGCAATATTAACCCTAAATCAATTCGTTTTAGAATATGTAACATAAATATAAAATACATATTAATTGACTGCATGTATATAGATTTATAATTATATATTGTTTTAGATAATAGAAAATCAAGCATAATTATANCGTTTTAGAATATGTAACATAAATATAAAATACATATTAATTGACTGCATGTATATAGATTTATAATTATATATTGTTTTAGATAATAGAAAATCAAGTATAATTATAAGATAAATGGTAATTAATAGTGTTTATGAATGTTTTGTAATATATAATGTTGTATAATAGTGAAAATGATCTACATAAAAGTTCCAAAACGAATTGCTACTCAAAATACCGTACCAACTAAATTTACCTTCATCGTACCATGTACCTAAGAAAGTGTCGTACCATGTAACCAAACCTGTACAACATACCAAAGCGACCCACGATCCAGGTAGAATTGCGTCATACATAAACTCAGAGAAAGACTGCATAGGATGTTAAGGTTCAATGCATGCTTATAAAAGTTTGTACGNACCTGTACAACATACCAAAGCGACCCACGATCCAGGTAGAATTGCGTCATACATAAATTCAGAGAAAGACTGCATAGGATATTAAGGTTCAATGCATGCTTACAAAAGTTTGTACAGCAAATCCCAGTTCACCATTTGCCTACCGCAACTCTACTTGTGTGCGTATCAAATCGAATTCAGCTGAAATTCTTTTGGCTCATATTCACCCAAATTTAAACAAGTAACAACTGGGAGTTTTCATACAATTGTAGATCAAAGGAATCAACATTATCTGTATAATCTTTTACTGAAGAGATAAAGCANCAAATCGAATTCAGCTGAAATTCTTTTGGCTCATATTCACCCAAATTTAAACAAGTAACCACTGGGAGTTTTCATACAATTGTAGATCAAAGGAATCAACATTATCTGTATAATCTTTTACTGAAGAGATAAAGCAAGAACTGAAACTTTCTGAAATGGATCACAGAACAGGAATTGGGTATATTAACCACCAGAAGGACTAAGACATCCTTTTGCTCCAAAAATACCTTTTACCTAGCTCTTTAAAAACTGGAAAGATATATGGCATGACCTAACATACTAAGGCATCTAGTCAAGAAATACCTCAAAGTGAGCAACATAAAGATAAGTGAAAAATAGAAATACCATCAGAAAAATGCAACAAATTGACATCACTCAGTTCAGCGACAGTGAATTGCCCAATTCTAGGAAGAAGTGAAAGACTCTTGTGGAAAGGAGGGCATCCAAATTTTTTATGAATGATTGAATAATGAAAGGAATATTCTATGGCAGGAAAAAATTCAAAATTTAGCGAGGGTGGAGAGAAATGTAGATACATACACATTGCTATCAAGCTCAACTATTTTTTGTGCTTTTCTCTCAGCTACAATTACATACCTCATATATCTCTAGTTATCAAATAGCAATATCTTTAGGCTGGTCAGACAAAAATCACATTGATATGGCAACATTTAGCCACCACAGGAATTCATGATACACTCTAGAAGCACCCAAAAACTCAAGGACCAATGATACAGGTTTCCCACATAAGTGCTAGAATCCTGGAAATGAATGAACACAGAAATCCGTCTGATTACGCAACACTTATCCCAGTGTAGTTGATTAGCTAAATGCATTCGTGAGATTAGTATTGACCTGTGAAATGATAGGGACTGATTTACTCTACAAATGTTACAGGCATATAGAAAACAATTCTCAAATTAAGAAGAATAGACTTAAAAAATGAGGAATGAAAAACCATCAACACTATAACCCTCCATCGTAGTATCATACTGTTAAGTGGAAGCTTCAAATCATCACTATAAACAATCAAAGCACACAAGGAAACACACTCTAAAGAATTAAGCCAATACTACTATGCTAAAACAGAGAATATTAAAGTGCATTAGAAGACAACCCAGCACATATCGTGCAAAAATAAACTGAAAACATAATAAATAAACTAGACCTAGTTGCATGAGCTTGCGGCACGGGAAACCAATTACAAAGCATTCATCACTCTAGTATCTAACTAGAACTGAAAAAAAATGACACCCAGTTTAGTCCTCATTAATAGGGTCGAGGGGGAATAGAAATATTAAACTACAAAACCACCCTTGCCCATCAAAGGATCAGCTTCAAATCATTGAATCATATAAATATAACACACGAACACATAAAAATTCAGGGAAAAATAAGCAGAACCAGGAAGATCAACCAACCCTATCTTCCTGGATTCAGTGGCGTTAATTCAGCATCAATCATTATTTTAACACAATAAACTCCAATACCCTCTTGAAGAAAAACTCGAATCTCTCTCTTACTTAATTCATTAAGAGAAAGTTCAACTCATTAACAAAAAAAAACACTATTCAATTCACAAATTCCACAATCTGGCAATACATGAAACCCAAAAGTCCCAAAAAAAAAATCACAAGAATCACAAGCAACAAAAAACATAATACAATTGCATACGAAGAAATATCCAGTTGATAAAACAGAATTATAAGCAAAACCCAGAAGCAGAATCACAAAACCAACATCTTCCAGCACGAGCTCTCAGGTTATTTATTGAAAGGGTACGATTAAATTCAGTAAAAGATCCCATTAGAATCACAAAACAAAAACATTCCCCAATACAAGAATCCCAAACCCTAAAAAACCCAGAACTCACAAAGCTTTATCAAAAGCCCAAAACTAGAAATACCCAGTTGATAAAATGAAAAAATAAGCAAAACCCAGTAGGAGAATAATACCCAGCTTTGTGAATTCACCGGAGGCGAGAGCATCAGCGTAGTATTTGTCATTGTAGCGAACAGGAAAGAGGACAGTGTTGAGCTTTTTCAGTTGCATCAAGTTTTTATCTCTCACACCGTCCAATGAGATTGGCACTTCACGTCCAGGCCCCATTTTGCTGATCTTTCTCTCTCTACCTCTAGACTACACAAGAAATCAATCACTCGAGCCTAAGAAACGTGGTTCTTACAGTGTAAGCGGCGTCGTATAATGCAATGATGATAGCCCAATTACATTCTAGCACACATTAAGGTAAATTACATTCTCGCGCCCATGAATTTAAGTTATATTATACTCAAACCCTTGAAATTTGTTATTAAATCAGACGGACGCCTCAAATATGATTATTTAGACTACGACCCCATATCAATGAAACTTATAAAAAGACTAACCCCACTTTAATTTTTGTTTCGTAAACCAAACATTGGAAAACTCGTGTCCATGACAGTAAGCAGCACCACTTAACATCACTATGGTTCAACTATTAAACATGAACTCAAAATTGAATTACGAATTAAACGGATCTGTGAATCGAATCAAATGAATCTCTCACTCTAATTCATTACTCTCGGAATATGATCAAAAATATGCAAAATGAAGTTAAAAATTTTGGGTTCCAAAATTGATGAGTCATAAAAGACACAAAGTAACCTTTCTTAAATGTCACATACTATTGTGATTCTTTAGCTCAAATTTTTTGGGAGAATATGGTCTTGATTGGAGATGCAGCTCACCCTACAACTCCTCATGGTTTAAGAAGCACAACACATGTCAACACTGGAAACAGCAGTAACAGGAAAATGTCTTGAGAAGAGGGGAGCGGAAAATTTGAATGCAGCTCTCAGAAAATATCAGTCTATCTAGCTGCCGAAGCAAGCAAGGGCTGCATTCGAGGCAACAGGGCCGGATCAAACAAGGCCCTAAACGTTCCAAATCACCCCTTTTTTTTAGCTTGAGCAGAAAAACATGCCCCATTTGGCCATATGCTTTTGCTGTTGAGCTAACACCATGCTTCATTTTGGACTGCAGAGCAGATGCAAAAAAGCTAGTGCTTTGGAAAAATGTACAAGTACTTCTTTTCTTACCTTGGATGTATAGTTAATAATACCTCTTACTTGTCTCTCTAGATTCATGTATTACGAATAAATTTGGAAGGATTTATTTTTCCTGCTGAGCATCCTGAGTTGTTGAGTTTGTGGTTTTAAGTAGTCCAGATTCAGTCTCCAAATGTCAATCCAATGCAAGCTCTTAGTATGGATTTTCATGCAATTATACTGAAACCTTAGGTCCAATAGCAATTCTTCCAATAAGGGTTTTCCGGGGGAAAAAAAAAGCACCTTTATAAATGCCGAGTTTAATCAAGATGCATTTATGAAATTGATCTTGTTTACTAACACAACTCAAATAGAAGAATTACATAGACCAGGACTGAACCAACTAGAGAACGAGATATGGAACTCATTCAGCATACACAATATGTTGCCTTGTGAAATACATGGAAAGCTCCATGAACTGATGAGAGAATAAAATCAATTGTTAGAAGGCCATGTTGCTTGGGCTGACATGATTATTCCCACAATTACTCCAAAAAGCCCCAGTGCACTGCCAAAAATCTCAATAACAAGGATCTTCACAAAAAGTGAAGAATTTTGGGCATCAGACAATGCACAGCTGCTTCCAATAATTCCTACACACAACCTGTCAACAAGAAGATCAAGAAAAAACAGTTACGTATTTAATGGACTTCCATAAGCAGAAAAAGAAAGAAATGAATATTGGGCTTAAAAATCTAAGTTTGGACAAACCCGCAGACAAGATTTGCAAAGCCCACAATAATTCCGGAAGCAAAGATTGCATATCCAGCTCTAAGAGACTCGGCTGCATATATGTTTGATGCTGTAACACTCTCCAACTTTGTTTGGAGAATAATTGCCACAATAACGCCATATATAGCGACAGCTTCACAGAATATTACACTGACGCCAAACAAGAATTTGAGTCAAATATAATATTTTCAGACATCCCTTCAGAGCCATCCAATTAAATACCACAATGACAAAAGAAACTGACTATGGATAAGGTTTATGTTAAAGATTCATCATTAATAAATAAAGCATCTTCTTCACACATGCATATACTTTACAGTCATACTTCAGAAAATGGTCATGTAACTCTACATATATAAGGAGACTACAACTTTGACTCTTGGCATTTCAGAAAAAATGCACATTCCATGAATTTCATAAATTCTAAACCTAATCCTCCAAAATGAGTTTCAGTGGAGAAAGCTGGTCCATTAGTGAAGTAGACAGCAAATTGAGTAGAGACACAATTTGAAGGGTGTTAGCAAAAACTCGAACTCGCACACAAAGAATATAAGTATATTGTGTAAGATGTACGGCCCCTACCATTATATCCAATCAAATAAGAATCTTGTGAGTGGATCTTATGGTGGTGGTATGTTTGCTTTATTGTGACATAGGCGTCAAGAGTTACGTGTTGGGATTTAATACGCTTTAAACCCACAAACAAACACACACAATCGAAAAACAAACCAAGAATATAAAGCAATAAGAAACAAGAAAGAACAAGACATAAAGATTTTTACGTGGTTCGGCAATTTGCCTACGTTCAAGAAGCTGCAGGATTATTACTATTGAGAGAGAGGATTGCAGAGAGCGGCTATACTTCAATCAAACTCTAATCACCAAAGTAGCAGTATTTTATATGTCCTATCGGCCCAATCCTTCGCTCCATAGACCAAACCTCAAAAAAATTTCCTATTAAAAAAATCACGCAACATTACTTCGGGTCGAGTCATCATCCGGATCACCACATGCAAACTAGACTCCACAACAGCCCAACATTACGAGTCGTAGAAACCACCTCTCTCTACAGGCAGGGATACAATTGTGTCCATTTGCTACTTGTGCAGCCACCCTTTATGTGTATGAAAACTTTCAAAATATTCAGATCAAAGGTGATGATGTTGATTGTTTCAAACAACCATTTTTATGATATTTCCTCCACGTCCCTCTCTCTACCTCTCTATCAATCGCTATCTCACATGCCAACATGCATAGGCACGGTGGAAAATTTGCTTTCCAAGCTAGGCTTGAAGAAGCTCTTATCTTTGAAAAACTTACTGGGATAAGACAAATTCGAGATGATGAAACAATCAAATAATCAAGGTTGATTACTGAGTTGAAATACGTGGAAGATGTGCATATATATGCATCCTTGTAAGAACTTTGAATCAAAAATATTAAGCAATAGTGATCCCCAAAATAAAAAACAGATAACTCAGCCAATGAACAAGTTTTGTTATAGCTTCTCAGCTACGAGCTTAGCGTCCGAGCATTGATTACAAGAGTATCAAATGACTAAATAGAAAAGCATCCAAAGTTACATTGAACAACCACCATTACAAAAATTGTTAAATGATATCCAAGTTTGTGCATAAGATGACACTCCAAAAGAAGGCAAGTTTTAGTCCCCCTTCTCTTATCTAATAGAAGTTGAAAAAAAGAACATTGCTATAATATGAAGCTTGTGCTATTTACCGCCACAATTGTTAACTTGTTACTATGATATCATTGTTGTTCCTTAGGCTTCAACACCATCCATCGTACAGTTTTTCAAGACACTATTGTTCTATTCCAAGCCGAAAGATGAGAAAAATAAATAAATTAGAAAGTCAAAAGGAGTGATTTATTTGTTAACAATTGAACTAAAAAAATATTAGTCACTATTCATAGTTCCTAACCTCTATATTTAGCTACTCATCTCCTATGGTATATCTCATCTTCTAAGATTGTTCACTTTTTCAGGTTGTCCTCCTCTTATAACTTTCAACAGTTACCATGGACTTAGTAGATATACACATAGTCCTAACCAAGATCATTGGACTGCTTTGATGAGATTGTTGAGATACTTGAGAGGTACCATGGACTATGGTATTTTACATAGTGGATTTCTAGCTATACTAGAAGGGTATAACGATGCTAACTGGATCAGTGATTCAGATGACATAAAATCCGCTAGTGGTTATGTGTTCACCCTTCGTGGGGGTGCAATATCATGAAAGTTGGCAAAACAGACTACTATAGCTCGATCCACTATAGAGTCCGACTTTGTTGCCTTGGAGATGGCAGGCAATGAGGCTGAATGGCTTAGAAACCTCTTAGAAGATATCTCTTTATGGATGAGACCAGCTCCGTCTGTATCTATGCTTTGTGATTGCGAGGGTGCTATAGCCGTGCAAAGAATAACATACACAATGGAAAGAACAAACACAATGTCTAAGACAGAACATTTTGAGACAATTATTTAATGATGGGTAATATCCCTTGAATATGTGAGGTCAGAGATGAACTTGGCAGATCATTTGACCAAGCCACTAGGTAAGAAACTAGTGTATTATACATCGAAGGGAATAGGACTTGTGCCTATTACAATGGGTCAAGAGTGAATGGTAACCCAACCTATGTGATTGGAGACCCCATGAAGTAGGTTCATATGGATAATAACAAGTTACTGATTGACATAGTGAGCACTGTAACTCCTTTGATTATGTCCCTTCCGATGGTGTACACAGTGCTATATTACATTGATTGAGAGTTGAGCTATGCTCTTAATGAATTTCATATCCCTTATGGGTGATGTGTTTAATTGTAGTGCACACTAGATCATAGTTATTAATATCATACGATATGCGATACACATCGTACGACACGTCACGATATACATGAAAAACGATACGTATCGTGTCTCTGTATCGTTTTTGCACTGTATTATACAATACACGATACAATCCGATACGTGACGATTCTGTTTTTTTTATTTTTTATTTATTTTTTGGGACTGAAATGACATTATTTTATACTAGAACTTATTTTTAAATCACTAACCATTGAAATAACGTCAATTCAGTGGTTAAGGCTTAAAAAAAATAAAATAAAATAAAATTTGTTGTTAATGTTATTCAATTGAATTCAAAATTCTTGATTAATATTAAATTATTAATGTTGTTCATGCAGTTGATGTTAAAATTTTGAATTAGAGGTCTATACATTTTGACATTACTGAACTATGCTGAGAACTAGAATCGTTGGTAAAATATTAATAAAATAATATGTTATTATGAATCTATGACCTTTTTACAAATTTTAATAATTATTTAAAATTTAAAATTGCACATATCTTACGATACATGATACGATACGATACACTATTTTTTAAAAATAAAACGTCTTTCGATACGCGATTTAACAACTATGCACTTGATGGATTCACCTATATGAGTGTGAAGTGAGGCCGCTTCTATGATAACTTAGGCAGGTTCTCTAGAGCACTCATGAATATCCAGATAGGGCGAATGGCCTATTAGCGCCAACCTGCGTTGAATAGCTTGACTAGAGAGAATACAATGTGGGTGGTACGTTTGTTAGCTCACACTTGGGATTCACGGTTCATCAAAAATTTTCATTTCACCATAGTCCCGTGAATCACAACTTACTTATCCCAGGTTTGGTTCATAGCCCAAAAGGCACCAAATACAAAGCATTGTACTCTCGTTGATTAGCCCAAACTTTTCTATATTGTCTTTCGAAATATAAGGGGGATTGTTGTATATTTGACACATGTTTATTTCAAAAGTCAAAGATTTGCAATCTTGATGTTGATTTGTTCACATGGGAATCTCATATATTCATTTTCCTTAAATTTATATTTGTTTCCTTAAATGGCTATTGATCAATTACTTTCACATGTGCAAAATAAGTGGCTTGATGCCCAATCAATCATTTGGCTGTTGGAAGCCTTAATTGGCTCAATCAAAGGGCTCCTTCCCTTTTTCATTATCTTGGGCAGCCCTATATAAATGCTTCATGGGACAATGCAGAGACACATGCAAACATTTTCTTCTCTTCTTGGTCTGCTCACCAAAGCTTTTCTCAAGCCAAAGACATTGAGTTTTTAATTTGTCAAAATTCTAAAGCCTTCTTCTTTCTTTTGTCCTTACCACAAAATGATTTCTTCATTAGCATTTCGATAACTTTAACTAGGCTAATCTAGTTCGAGTTGTTCCTGACTCCTCACATTACGGGTGCACATTCACAAGATGCGGTCATTATATCCTAGAGGATAGTCGCCATTATCCTACTGCACCAAGCTTTGTACTCCGAGGGACAAAATCTATCCTTAAAGGCCGTGATTACTCACGCCTCAAACCAATAAGTTTTTTTGATCTCTCTCTTTATTATTATATATTTAGCATCCATATCCACAATAAATTACAACACTTTCAACAGTTGTTTGCTTTTGCATACAAATCAAGGTATACGAGAAATTAAATTAATGACAACAGTAGACCACTTGGTATTGGATTTGAAATCGTTGCTATCTAATTGAACCGAATTCGAAATTTGGATTCTTCCAAAAAAAACAGTATCAATCAACCAAGCAATTTAATAAAACCTAACCAACAAAAACAAGAAAAGATCACTGAATTCTAGGGAATCACAGATAGAGCTAGAGTTAGGGTTTCCGTTTTACCTAATGAGGTTCTTAGAAGTGATACGAGGAGCTTTGATTGCAGCACCGATCAAACTACTTCCTGTGATGTAAATCCCCCTAACAAAAATAAATTTGTCGGAAATCAACTCAAATAGTCAAATACTACAATTCATTTACATATATATAACTATATGTGTGTGCAATTACATGTATAATACCAAGCAGCGCCGAGAACAGAGACGCCGATAGCAATGGCGATGCCGACGGCAGAGAAGGTGTAAGGTGAGATATGGAGCATCGCCTTTGACCAGGAGCTTGAAGCTCCCACAGACATCGCCGTCGATGCGGACATTGAATTGCTTTTGGTGTTCTTCTTCTTTTTCTACCAGAGATCGGATTGGTGTTCGTGAAGAGATCTTTGATCCACAGAGAGAGAGAGAGCAAACACGAACCAAATTAATCACTGGTTAAATTCACTGACACCCTTGGGTCTTGAATCAATTATATAGTGACCCCTTCCCATTTAGAAGTAGGAAAATGTCATGCATATCAAAATTTTTATCAAAAAATATTTTTATCAAATGAGTTGATAATTCTATATCTAATCAAAAATATTTTGATCAGTATTTGATGGGTTCATGGGTTCAGGAGTAATCTTACCCAATCAAGAATATTTTGATCAACATTTAGTGGGTCTGAGAGTAATTTGAAACTGTCATATCATTTGATAAATCGTTTTTTGGTAAACATTGCATTATCTTTCAAAATAACTCAACAACATCTTGTTGGCAGAATTGACAACAGATCAGATTTGGATCGAGTTTTGAACGATTTGAATTCGAATTTGATTTTGAATGTCTAATCCAATAATTCAGTGAATTTTATTTTTGTTATACCTAAATTTTTATTTAAATAATTACTTAATTTTTTTAATATTTATACAAAAATACCTAAATATTTTGGATCGAATTAGATTGGATATTGGTATGTCTAAATTCGAATCAGCTAAATATAAGATATCATATTTGAGTTTGAATAATCATTAAAAAATATTAATCTATATCCACCTAATCGAATTCAAATATGAAATGAATTTAGATTAAAATTTAATCCATTAACAGACCTACTTATTGAGGGTTTTTTTAAGAAGTCGTCTTTAATTTTTTTTTATTTAGTTCAAATTAATTAAATAATTTATTTTTTATTCTACTGAGTTTTAACATTAAAAATTTAAAACCTAAAACTTATTTTGTTCCAAATCATCATCGAAAAGATGTTGGGGGGAAAATTTCATTTGCAATTCCTATAAATTATCTTATCTATTTTCTAAAATTTCACTCTTCTAAATTATAGATTCATCCCAACCACAACCCCTGTCGTTTGTGTTTGTTACTGACAAACCAAAAATGAGAAGGAATGACAGTAAACTAGCAAAAAATGTAAAGAGTTTCCTTGAAGATAGAGTAATCTAAAAGACATGTTGATGAAGTTTTCTATTTGTTTATTACTATATGAGTTCTATCACTTGTTTCTAATTGGCAGAAATAATCTTTTGAAGTAAAATTCATCTTACCCAAATCAGGATCTTGACTCATTTGCATCCCAAAGCTTAAAGAGATTAATGATTCTCCTTCTGAACCTTTTCTGAGATTTGGTATAGTTTTTTCTAAACAACGCAGAATCAATTTTATTGTACTACGATCAAAGTGTATTTTTTGAATTTTAGTAATGTCGGTATCGATCCTAAATAGGGTGGATCAATCTAGCTCCTTCCCTCAGTAGCTTCTAAAACGTTTCATTCCATTTTTTTTCATTAGAGTCCTCTCTTGGAAGTACAATAAATTCAATGTTCATACAAACAATGCAATTCACTAACAAATCTCAACCAAATAGCCATAATAGCCTGCGTTTTTGCATCAATTCAAACTTCAAAGTGATATATGTGTATTTTATATGGTAGAAGGAAAAATAACCATCTTACTTCAAAGCAATCATAGTTATAGTGTCCATCTACCATGAACAAATAAGGGATGAAAATAACGTGTGGCTAACCGTCACAATTCAAACAGTAATGGATTGAGACAGAAATCAATTGATTCATAAATATACATTTAAACTTATGAAAATATCGGTTGACCCAAAATTTTCAATTAAACGATTAAGCAAGCATCAAGTCTAATAAGTCCAAGATCCACTTAATTATGTATGGTCTTCACATTGATAAAACCTCCATGCTTTTGAAACTTTGTTGGCCTATTGCAGCTGACTGAATTTGAAGGTGGAGGACTAGCTAGCAATTGGCTTGAGCTGCATTCATCTCCTAGCTGATCCCATGTTCATCAAGGCATGGGCCCACATGACCTGAGGTGGCAAAATCATCTCTCCACCTCTGTTCCACCCATTGCCACCACGAAGATCGGGGCATAGGAACATTGATCGTGAGCCTTACACCGACTTAATCAACCACTACAAATCTTCCATAGAGAAACCAGCTCCAAGCTTTGTTGAGCAACACAAAACTGTCATGCTAGCATTTTCAAAGGAAATGGTGCAGGCCTGCATGAACATGGCTAGGACTCCTGGTTGGTTCACCAGATGGATCGTTTCCAACGCCTTTTTGAAGCTTTAGCTGCGCTGTTTTGGGTTTGTATCAGCAAAGCCGATTGAAATTGTGTTGCTGTGTCAGAAGTTGAATAGCTATACTAATTCGGTATACTCTAAAGATGCCTTCAGTACTATATTGATGATCTCACAATGAATGAATTTCAGTGAATTTCCATTTACTGATCTTCGAAAGGAATAAAACATGGTCTAACAGACATATCTGTATCCATAGATATGAGAAATGTTCTAAGCCTAGACAAAAGCTTTTTTTGAAAATTGCATGATGTATAACAAGATTCCTGGGGAGGGATTAGGAGAAAATGAACTATCAAAAGCAGCAATTGGTTTCAGAGACGCAGTGGAGATGATGGACTCGGAGAGGGCTATGACTTGATCGAGGGGTTGGAACGTAACAATTGCGAATCCCATCCATTGATGAATGGTAACATTCTCATTTGTGCTAAGTTGAAAGGCATTGATTCGTATTCTGCCATTTTCGAAGACTATTTCAAGCCAATTCACGTTTCTTACTAAATTGAGCTGCCATTACGGGAAGGGCAGGTGTTGATTCTTCCTGGTGGCAATGACCTATTTAGCAGGGTGGTTATGGCTACACTACCGGAAAATGAAGCCATCGAACTTTGTGAAGATGCTCTTATCCAGCAATTATCCCCAATTATACTGATGGGAGTGAATAAGAACTATTCTTAGTTAGAGGAATATGATCCTTGATAAAGTACTATATAGCTCGATTCGGTGCCATGTACTAAAGAGTATAGGTTTATAATTGACGCATAATGATGTTTATGTCAATGCTGATCAATTATATTCTCCGATAAATAAAGAGGGTGAGATAAGGAAAGATACATCAGGAACAAGAATTAATACCATTAAAGCCAGTAGATGAAATGAATGGAAAAGACTATACTCATAGGGCGAACGAGAGGAAGAAGTTCATGTGTTCATACATTCTAAACATATTGACTATGACCTCCTCGCTTTTTCTTTAAATAAGATGGGAGGAGATATACAATTGCAATGGACAATCATTGGGGGCAGCCTTATCAGGATAATGTTTATTATTGCGACCTGTCAATTTTAGACACAGCCTGCGAACATCACACGAAATTAGTAGTTTTTAGTTGGGTCTTAACAAGTTCGCGTGGTAAATGGATGGAGACTCACTAAATAAATGAGCCGACTCAAACCAGTTAAATATAACTTATACAATGTTTGTACATTACACGAATCCAATACGATACGAATTTGGTTATAGATAAATATGAGCAGATAAGATATGAATTAAGCAATATTTTGAAATGACATAACCTATTGATAGTCCTAATTAAGGATTTGAGTAAACCTGCATACATCCGACATTTCTCAAACTTTGGAATAACATAATTCTTGTGCACTGAAGTTCCTTATTTTCGCACTTAATATTATTTCAAGTTCTCAACTTTCTCCAGGTCCTGCTTAGAAATCAACCCCCCCCCCCCAAAAAAAAAAAAAAAAAATACCCCATGCCCAACACCAACAAACCGAGGCCCCAAATTAAAGTTGTTATACTATAATATTTCAACTAGGCTTCAAATTTTCAAAAAAAATAAAAAAAAGTGGGCCTTCTGACTAAATTACTGAATCCATCCTCACGTGGGATGTAACCACTGAACAATGACATGGGCCGGTTTAGAATTGCCAAGGCCTATTTTGTACGAAATCAACTGCATGGTCCCTAAGCCCTTTGTGGTATGTGAGTTTTTCTTTTTTTTTGGGTGAAAATTGGAAGTGAGTATTCTTAGATGTACTTGTTTAGAGATAAGTCCTGCAAGAAAACTTATAAAGGGCTAAGTCCATGTTAAAAATTATATATAATGACTTAAGTCAACTTTTTTTTTATCTCAAAAATAACATTTCTTGAAATGAAGTTAATATTTTCTCTCTCATATATATTTATATTTATATATAGATTAAGAGTTTGATTAATATTAAAATTTTTCCTCTCTCTTATTTATCTATATCCAATATAGGTTATATATATATAATAACATTACAAAAAATAGTAACATTCAAATACAAAAAAAAAAATTACTATAAATTTGAATAGTAAAATTTAAATTCATGTTACTATTTTTTTTATTATGTTATTATGCATGTTACTGCTTTTGTTGAGTATGTTACTGTTCATGTACTATTATTTTTAAGCATGTTACTATTTTTGTTAACCATGTTACTACTATTATTTTTCTAAATATTAATATTCAATGTTACTATTTTTTTTTTTTGAATATTACTATTTTTTGTATTTGAATGGTACTATTTTTTGCGTTTGAATTTGAAAAAAATAATTATTGTTAAGTATGTTACAATTTTTGTTAAGCATGTTACTATTTTTGTTGAACATGTTTATATTTTTGTTGAACATTTTAGTGTTGTTATTTTTTTAAAAATATTAATATTGAATTTTTCAATTTTTTTTATGTTTAAATATTACTATTTTTGTGTGTTTAAATGTATTAGTTTTTATGTCCAAATGTAACTTTTTTTTGTATTTGAATGTTACTATTTTTATTTTTANTCTTTTTTTTTGGGTGAAAATTGGAAGTGAGTATTCTTAGATGTACTTGTTTAGAGATAAGTCCTGCAAGAAAACTTATAAAGGGCTAAGTCCATGTTAAAAATTATATATAATGACTTAAGTCAACTTTTTTTTTATCTCAAAAATAACATTTCTTGAAATGAAGTTAA